AAAAGTGATTAGATGGTGGTCTTGATTAATTTAGGGTTTACAACTGTACAAATATAGTTTATACCCATAAAATATACTGTGATCTGAAAATGGAGGACATGTCCTACAAATGTAGGATGCCGAAGGGGGGAACCCAAAATCAAAAAAACCTCTTTTAAATGGATCAAGATTTCGCCCACTGGCCATCAATCAAGCTGCGTTTTTAGAGCTCCACAAATTGATACAGCAAGAAAAGGGGTCGACAGACAGGAACGAAGTTTCAATATAACCATTACCAAAAGGGGTCAATAGACAGGAACGTAGTTTCAATATAACTATTACCTTCAACTTCCCCAAGCAAACAAATCTTGAAAATGGAAGATCTTTTCGTTTTCCATGAAGAGGATCCTTTTCTCCACGTGATTTCATGTAGACTAGGTAACCCTATAACAGGAACACTTTCACTGTGAAACCCAAAATGACATAGCATTTGGGCTGCATAGCACTTGGATTCTCTTCCAAATCTCTCATTCTAGAATGTCAGACATGAAATCACACAATATTAGAGATAGAAGAGATGCCAAGAGATGCCTAGTCTAACCTTCTGCCCTTCAGAATTTTTGCATGTAAGTGACTACTGATAATTGCAGATGCCAACTTTCTGGAAAGACCTTGAAGGACGTAGAGTACACCAACATCAAAGACAATAAATGCTACTTTCAAGTAGCTCTCACACTGTTATGGAGAGTTATTTGGCTTGAAGTATGTGGTGTTACATTGAAAGTGATTAGATGGTGATGGTCTTGAGTAATTCAGAATCTACAAGTGTACAAATATAGTTGATAACCATAAAATATACTGTGATCTGAAAATGGAGGACATGTCCTACAAATGTAGGACACCCAGGAGGGAAAGCCCAAATTAATAAAACCTCCTCAGAATGATTCAAGGCCTCCGATTAGAAGCGGGATGGCAAGGGTGCTTGGGAGCGATCGTGTCAATAGCCCTGGTAAGATCGTTGTTCCAAATATTACCCAGAGCCTTGACAGGATCACCGGCATTTCCAACCATTAACCCCTCTAAGGCTTTCTGGAATCCAATTGACTCCATTAGCCTTCGAGGGCGGACCAATATAATAGGTCCACCACCCCCAGCGGGGCAGACATTGGCTCTCAGTTCCATCTTGACCAGGAAATGATCCGTCCATGACAATGAACTACCTCCGCCCACGGATATTCCTGCTCCGTACTGAAGACCGCATCGAGTGTATGACCTGCACAATGTGTGGGCCCGTTGACCAGTTGGGATAGGCTCATGTTTGTCATGGTCTCCATGAACTCCCGAGCCACAACTGTTAAACTGGTCTCGATATTTCTTGATCTATCTTGATATCAAAAAATTCAATTTTAATTAATTTTACTATTATTGTATTATAATAATAACCATCTAATCACTTTCAATGTAACAACACACACTTAAGCCTAACAACTCTCCATAGTAGTGTGAGAGCAACTTGAAAGTAGAATTTATTGTCTTTGATGTTGGTGTACTCTAAGTCCTTCGAGGTCTTTCCAAAAAGTTGGGATGGGCAATTATAAGTAATCATTGATGTGCAAAAATTCTGAAGGGCAGAAGGTTGGACTAGGAATCTCTTGGTATCTCTTCTATCTCTAAGATTCTGAGAATTCATGTCTGACATTCTAGAATGAGAGATTTGGAAGAGAAGCCAAGTGCTATGCAGTCCAAACCCTTTAGTCATTTAGGGTTTCAAAGTAAAAGTGTTCCCAAAACAGGGTTACCCAGTCTACATGAAATCACATGGAGAGAAGGATCCTCTTCATGGAGAACAAAAAGATCTTCCATTTTCAGTATTTCTTTGCATGGAGCACTTGAAATAATGGTTGTATTGAAAGTTCGTTCCTGTCTGTTGTTCCCTTTTCTTGGTG